GCAGTCTTGGACTGCAGTATGAAGTACCTTTTCTGCATCTTACTCTACATGCCAGGGACAGAAAAACACAGACAGCTCATGCAGTCTTGGACTGCCTCCCAGAAGCCCCAGTGCTCCCAGCAGGGGCACACAGTCTGCCGTGGAATGTACCAATGAGAGGCAGAACACTAGGGCAGAAAGTGCTATGTCATAAACAGCAGAAGAGGGAAGCAGGGGCTGCAGCACCAGGGAAGCTTTCCTGGGTGGGTGGGGGGGGGACTCAAGCCAGGCAAGTGGGATGCCATGCACATATGTGAGGGGCGGAAGAGCTCAAATACATCCGTGTCCGGTTTGTGCACACAGATGGATGTGCACACTACTGCAGTAGGATGAGCTGGGCAGTATCCAGACAGCAGAGGGCTAGAGCTCAGGCATCCAAAATGAAGACTGCACAAGCAGTGTGGAACACATGAGTGAAGGAATACTCACAGTCCTCCGGCAAAACCTCCTTAAACTGTTCAAAGTAGGAATTCAACCGCACCAAGCTCTCTATGTTGATGACTTCTTGTAAGGATGTGTCTCCAAACCTTGGGGAGAATCAAGATATCAGTAGACGGGCCATGCCATCTTCCTCTAACAAGCTGAAAGCTAAGAGAAATCTACAGGGATCGATTCTCCCAAGGAGATAAGCTGCCAGCCCAAACCCCAGGTCCCTCCTCCTTCCTGAGGATGAAGCCATCCTACGGCACTGGGCACAGATTTCACAAGCAGAGGCCACTGGAACTCACTATAGGTATGTCTACAAGTGCACTGGTGCAGGGTCCGTGCTTGCTACTGCTTGGTAAGAAGTCTCTCCGTGCAAGTCCACATGTGGAAGGCTTGGGCTGTGGGCACCAGTGACAGTGATTGGATCCTGATGGCTCACTGCTAAGTGTCCAGTTAAATACTCTATTAGGATCTGGGGCCTAGCTGGAGGAAGCAGACACTGGAGGCACATCTTTTAAGGGCGGACCTTGTCTTCTGAGCCTTCCTGTCTCATGTACACCATGGGGTGAGTGACTTTGTCCCACCATCTGAGCTCTACACTGTGGTTCTCTGCCTGCCATGCACAGGCTGTGGAGCAATGGAGCCAGCAACCACGGCCTGAAACTTCTGAAATCATACGTCAGAGTAAACCTTTACTTCTTAAGTCTTGATCTTTTTAAAGGTGGTTTGTCACAGCAACATAAAAATGACCAACAGCACCAGGCTCAGAGACTAAAAGTCCATTGTGTGTCACAGGCTCTCAAAGGCACCCAGGAAAGGGGACAGCAGTCGGGGAGGCAGGACTAAGGAGACTATGCTGGGATCTGAAGTCACCCTCTGCTGTGTGAACACTAACTGTCCCTCTGGGCTGCGCTGGGGCCTTGGCTCTTTCCTCATCAGGTGGGTGTGACCTATGCCCACTACATGTTGCAAGAATGACTATACCAAATACATGAGGTAAGTAAGAGATGCTACCTTCAAGGAAGGTGCTAAACAGTAAAAAGGGGGGAGGGGGGCATCCTTGTGCAGTCTGAGACCTGGGCCCTCAGCCCAGCCCACCACTCCCCTGCTCTATGCCCTACCAGCATTAGCCTCAAAGGCAGTACTCAACATAGACAATTCACCCTGGTACCACAACAGCTTCGTGTCTAGCAGGCATCTGCCCCCTCGGGGAGACGGGGGTGGGGACTTTCCATTCTGGGCAGTCTCCCTTCATCTCAGAAGCAAAACAAACTTACGCATGTGCTGCTGGAGCAAGCAAGCAAACCAAGCCAACACTGCTCACTCTTCAACTCCACTCTCTCCTCCTCAGACTCTTCATACATCCTCCTCTATCCTCCTCTGCTCACTCATCTGGACTTGTCTCAGGCAGGGAATGTCCTCCCACAAGAGGCCCATTCTCCTCACACTACATTCTTCTAGATCTTGCCTTGAGAGGGCTCTGTTTTCTAGGCTGGTGCCTCAGCCTTATCTGCTCTAAACACTACCTTCCCCATGGTCCTGAGCTCAGAGAAGGCACCAACCCACTTGCCCAATCCAGAAGCCTAGGGCCTCAGTCGACTTATCCTCTATGCTGCTTACATGGGTCTCCAGTTGGTCCCTTCTCAGAACACTTACAGCATGCTCCACCTATCCAGATCCATAGCACTGCCCTGTGGCCCCGGCCTCTTCAGCAACATCCTCACGTTTCTTTTGAATCCTTTCTACCCATGGCCAGCAATGTGACCTACTTAATGTGGAGATCTGATCAGGCCCCGTTCTACTAAAAGTTGTACGACATCTCTCAGCAGCCATAGCGCATCCCCAGTTGAGGGGAGCCCACACCCACAGCTCCAGGGACACTTGAACCCCCCAGCCGCACAGGCACCCGCAGAGCGGCACCCACCTCTCAGCCAGTGTCTGTTGCTCATTGATGCCCACGTTGAAGAGGACTGGCTGCACCCGCAGCAGCATGCCACTCTGGATCTCTCGGGGCAGGGAGTCGAACAGCGGTCCAGGCAGAGGGATCCGCACATTAAAGCCATCACTAGCGAAGAGAGGGAAAGAAGGGATAAGATCAGGACACTGAGAGTAGGGGACAGATCCAAAGCATACTTCAGAGCGTTTGTGGCACTCTGGCTACTGTGGTTCAAGTGCCCACTCAGACCCTGAAGGAGAAATTATGAAATTGATGTGGGTAGAGGGAAGGCTGCATGCCATGTTTTAAAAGAGTAAAACAAAATCAAATAAAAGCAAAGTGCATAACAGAGCGTGTCCCTGTGTCCAAGGAGACAAACACAAACAGTTAAATGCTGTTGCCTGGCGCACCCAAGAGATGGTTATTTTTACCGGTTTCCTGTGATGACCGGCAGCATGTCAGTTGATGTATTCGAAGTGGCCTGGGTGACTTTAAAGGTCACGTTCCTCAAGTCCATGATGCCAAGGCTCATGTCCTCCAACATGGCCAGCTCCTCTCCTGAGAGGAGAAGACAAAGAGAGAAGGGTGGTGTCAAGGCCTGCTACTCTCCCCAGGTCGGTTGTGAACAAAGGGCTAAGGCATGGATGGGTGGGCATTCTCTCAGGCCTTCCCCTCAACATAGCACCCTGTGAGCAAATTCACTGCTGACCACATAATAACACTGCAAATGTAGGCTGGTAGAACTGGGGCCCACCCTTCTCAAGCTTTTGTGCATGGAACCTCAACAGCTCATGCCAGCTCTTCAAAAATGGGAAGAGAAACAGTAAAACAGCTTTGCTGTGGCCAATTCGTCCACCACCCATGGCTGGATACCTCATCAAAAACCCATAACCTGAAGAGATTGGGTGTATTCAGGGTGGTATGGCCTTAGAAGGAGAATGCAGATAGATCCATATTTACCACAAAACTCTGAACAAAACTGGAGTCCAAGTGGATCAAAGACCCCAACATAAAACCAGATTCACTGACTCTGATAGGAGAGAAAGTGGGGAATAGCCTTGAATGCATTGGCACAGGAGACAATTTCCCAAACAGAACACCAGTAGTGTAGGCCCTAAGATCAACAATTAATAACTGTGAACTCATGAACCTGAAAAGCTTCTGTAAGGCAGAGAACACTGCCAACAGGACAAAATGGCAGCCCACAGAATGGGAAAAGATTTTCACCAACTCCACATCTGACGGAGGACTAATTTCTAAAATATTTAAAGAACTCAAGAAACTAGACATCAAAAAAAAAAAAAAAAAGAAAAGAAAAGAAAAGAAAAAAAGAAAAAAACAAACCCAAATAATCCAATTAAAAATGGGGTAAAGATCTAAACAGAGAATTTGCAACAGAGGAATCTCAAATGGCCGAGAAACACTTGGGATGCTCAACATCCTTAGCTATCAGGGAAACGCAAATCAAAACTTACTTTTGAGATTTCACACTTGTCAGAATGGCTAAGATCAGTAACACAAGTGACAATTTATGCTGGAGAGGATGTGGAACAAGGGGAACACTCCTCCATTGCTGGTGGGAGTATAAACTTGTATAGCCACTTTGGAAATCAATATAGTGGTTTTTCAGAAAATTGGGAATCAATCTACCTCAAAACCCAGCAATACCACTCCTGGGCATATATCCAAAGGTGCTCCACCATACCACCAGGATATTTGCTCAGCTATGTTCATTCATAGCAACTTTTTCATAATAACCAGAAACTGGAAACAACCTGGATGCCTCTCAATCAAAGACTGGGTAAAAAAAAAAATGTGGCACATTTACACAATGGAGTATTACTTGTCTGTTAAAAAAAACATAACACCATAAAATTTGCAGGCAAATGGATGGAACTAGAAAAAATCATCCTGAGTGAGGTAACCCAGACCCAGAAAGATAAACATTGTATGTACTCACTTTTAAGTGGCTATTAGCCGTAAAGGATAATCATGCTACAATCCATAGACACGGAGAGGCTAGGTAACAAGGAGGGCTCAAGGGGAGGGGAACGCATGCTGGGAAGGGGAAATAGAAGAGATATCTCAGGGGGTCTGGGAGCAGATAGGGATGGGAACAGGAGGGATCAGGGGCAAATGGAGGGAGAGAGTTCTGGGAGAGACAACTGAAATTGGGGGGCATTTGGGGGACAAGGTAGAAACTTAGTGTAGTGGAAACTCCCTGGAATCTATGAGTGTGACCTTAGCTAAGACACCTAGAAATGGGGGATACGGAGCCTGAACTGGTAATCTCCTATAGCCAGGCAAGATTTCCAGTTGAGGAACCAACCCAACCACAAAACCTTTGACCTACAATTTGTCCTGTCTACAAGATGTACGGGGTGGTGCCAAAATGGTCCAGCTTGAGATCCTTACCACAAGAGGAAGCCTACACTTGACACTGCCTGGATGGCCAGGACCCAGAGGCTGGATAGCCCAGAGAGCTAGGGTAGAACCAAACATGACTGGAAAAACAAACAAACAACAACAAAAACAAAAACACCATGACCAACCACAATGGAACAATTCTTGATGATATTCTGCTATACTCATAGATTGGTGCCTAGCCCAATTTCCATCAGAGAGGCTCCATCCAGCAACTGATGGAAACAGATGCAGAGACCCATAGCTAAACATTAGGTCAAGCTCAGGGAATCCTTCAGAAAAGGGGAAGGAAGGATTATAGGAGCCAGAGGGGTCAAGGACACCACAAGAACACAGTCCACAGAATCAACTAGCCAGGGCTCACAGGGGCCATAGAGCCTGAACTGACAACCAGGGAGCCTTGTATGGGTCTGACCTAGGTCCTCTGCGTATATGTTATGGTTGCGTAGTTTGGTCTTCTTGTGGAACTCCTAGCAGTGGGAGCAGGGGCTATCCCTACATTTTTGCCTGTTTTTGGAACTCTTCCTCCTACTGGGTTGCCCATCCAGCCTAAATATGTGGGGAGGTGCCACCTTACTGCAACCTCGTATGCCATGTTTGGTTGATACTCCTGGGAGGCCGAAATGGAGGAATGGATTGGGAGGAGAGGGGAAGGAGTGGGGAAGGAGCAGGGGGAGAGGAGGGAGGGGAAATGTTGGGGTTGGGACATAGTATATAGAAGAATAAATAAATAAATAAATAAACAAACAAACTATAATCCCACGGTGAAAACATACTTTTTCAAAGCAGTCCATTTTCACCTTCTTGGAAGAAATAATAGAAAACAAGTCTAGGGAGAAGAGAGTCTCCCTAAACTGCAATTTGGAATCAGCTTTTAAGTTTCTAACCACCCCTTCTTCCCCTTGACCCAGCAACTCTCCTTCTCAGCTAGAAAAGGAGCCCACACAATTACAACTGTCTTCATGGACAGGTATCCCTGCACCAAAGATTTAGTGGGAGTCATTCAGAAGAAACCCAAATCCTCCTCCATGCTCACTAGAAAGACCGTCAAGATACATGACATGACTCCTGCAAACCTATGCAGGAGTATCGCCTGCTTCTTTGTACATATCCTGTTTGATGCTCGAACTCATCAATAAGGAAGGAAGGAGGTAGAGGCCCTGGGCCAGAGGTCACGCCCAGGATGGAGTCTCACCGTAGGTGCTCAGCAGGCTCTCAAACTGGGCCAGAAGCCCGATGGTATAGAGCTGCCGCAGGAAGCCGTCATCGTGCAAGCAGTTCCTCAGCTTGATGATGAAGCCGCAGATGAGGGCCGTCAGCTGTGGGGAGGCACAGGGAGTGGTGTGTAAACAGGCCTTTTAAAGAATATTTATTTATTATGTATCCACTGTTCTGCCTGCATATGTGTTCTTGTGTTCACTGCACAAGAGTGAGCGTAGCTGCCTAGCTTCCTTAGGGAGGTTTTCTGTGTGACGAAACAGGCTTCCCAGCTACAGAGCACCAGCCCCCTCCAAGCTACTCACATCATGAGTTCTATTACTGGCATCGTTTAACTTGGGAGATTCATCACAACTCTCACTGAATGGTAACTGAAGTCTTTCAACGGAGCCCTGTGATAAGCCACAGGACTTGAGTGCCTGCTGTTCCAACTGCACTGACAAGCACCCATGGGACCCTCGGTCACATCCCTTGTGCAGAAAAAGGAGGTGACATCGGCCTTTGCCACTGTCCTGCTTGGTGCTGGCTCTCCTGTCGGAGCTGGCTCTTCAGGAGGAACAAATGCCCATCGATGAGGTATCTCCTTCCTGTGCCTCTCTATTAAGGAAACTTTAAAGCAACAGGTTGGGCAAACAAGGCCCCTGTGCTTTGTGCAAGTACAGAGAAAGGACAGAGCTGCCTGAGTCTCTTTCTCGGAGGTAGGAGGTGCCCAAGAGCACCCTGATGTCCTCTGGAGGCTTACGGTTTGGCAGAAGACGACGTCACGGCGGTACTGCAGGCTCAGGTATGAGGCAATGGTGGGGGCACTGTCCTGCATGAGCAGGAAGACCATGGCCTTCTTGGCTTTGTCGCTCATCATGGCCACACAGTCTGTGAGGGTGGTCAGCAGAGGGTAAAGGGCCTCGCTCCATTCACCTGCACAGAGTGAAGGGCTTGTCAGAACTGAAAGGAAGGCTTCAAGAAGGTCCTGTAAAGCAGCACGCCACTGCCCTAACCATTGTTCCACCCTGCCTGTCACACCCTCCGCCTCTCTGGACCTTCTCACCGCATGGCCTGAAGAAATAGCACTAAGTTCTGCCCAGAGCCGACTCTGCTCCATCCCTCTGCCTCACTTGTTGCAGTAAACTAAAGGAGTTCGGCTCTGGTGGCATCCACATACACCAGCCACCCTAAAACTACTAGGGACTCTTTCCTCCACAGCAAGACTAAGGCTGTGGAAGAGAACACCCACAGAAGCCTTTGTAGGTCGTGACAAGGGCACAAACAGACTGTGTGTGCGCCACAGCCTGGCGGTCCTCTACCCCACAAGGAATGCCCACAGACAGGGTGTACGTCATGGCCCTTCTCCCAGCACGGTGCCAACTCTGCTCCTGTCCCCTCCTCTGTGCTCAGTCCCCACTCCCCCGCTTGATACAACTATTTCCAGCTCAGTTTGCTTTCAGAAATGTGATGGAACTTTGACCCAATACCAAAACAACCCTTTAAAAATAGAGCCCTGGAGGGAAGAGCAGGGTTGGGGCAGCTCGGGCTCGGCCTTCGTTTGCTTCCTTCTTGGAAGACATTAAAAAGACATGCCATGTCCAAAAAGAGGCATCAGCACACCCTACTGGGTGAAGCCAGCTCTCCAAACCAGCTCAAGGCAGTGCACACCCTGAGAGAGCGCGCGCGCAGGTGACAGAATCCTCAGACCAGCCACCACACTGCTGGGGGAGCCTCGGCCTCTCACACACACAGCCGGAGACACTAAGAGGAGGAGGCTGGCCCTGCTTGTTCACCATCTGGCTAGCACTCTAGCTCCAAGAATGTGTAGAGGAACTTGCCCATACTCAACAACAGGCCTAAGTACACGAAACAGTCCAGGGTTGGAAATGATCTAACTAGATATGCAGACACGCTGCATGTGGACAAGGGCTATGTCTGTAATGGAAAAGAAGCTTATATTTAGAATCTAAAGCAGAAAGGTCTTAGCAAATATGACACAGTGACAAAGAACACTGGACTGAGAAGTGGAAAATATGAGTTCCAGGCCTGGCTGCTGAGCAGTGGCGAACACGGGCAAGGCCCTGGACCCCTCAGCCACGTGGTATTTCTTGGGAAAATCAGAGAGAAGCACTAGATAGACTCGCAGACCTAACTCTCCCTCTGTTCTTCTCAGACAAGTTTCCTGTTTCTTTGAAGAACTCTGTCAACAGAGTCGATCAAAAATGGCCAACGAAAACTATGGAGTATAGCACATCATTTCGGACTGGTGCAGTCCGTAAGAATCTTCTTCATAAGCCAGGTCTGGTAGTGCATGCCTATAATCCCAGGACCTGGGAGGCTGAGGTAGGGGGGTAACAAGTTCAAGGCTAGCCTAGACTACATACTAATATCCAACCTCAAAAAATAAAAACAACCAAGCTCCCTCTGTCCCCCAAATACTGCTCTTGAGTAAGAATTGAAATGCTTAGATCATTTTTACTTTGCTTTTCCAATTACTACACATATACAATTCATAGGATAACCATGGCCATTTTAACCTGAAAATAATCAGAGCATCAAGCTGTTTAACCCAGCAAGCTTCCCCAAGATGACGTTTTCACTTTAGCCCCTTTTTTTCAGAAATGAAATTCATATAAGAAAGACTTATTTGCTAAACTAGAAAGAAAAAAGAGCACAGAAGAAACTGCTTAAAGGCACTGCAACACTTGTCTGGGAAACTGGTGACATGAAGCTGCACGAGGGTGAGTGTGCCATCTTCCCAGATGGCACCAGACAAGTCTGGGCGGCCAGAGTTCAGGGAGGGCACCAACCGCCATTCCCAGCATTTCTAACAGCATTCCCATCTTATCCACGCGGAGCGGAAATGGGCTCTGCGGCTAAGAGCCCTTCTAAGACACAAACAGAACGGGCCCCTGCACATGTCTGACTGACTCTCAAGCCATTATCTTTAGTAGTGAGCCTGCTTCTGCTGAGGAGAGAGCAGGAGTAAGGTGGCAGTAGGTGTCTTGAGTATGAACAGAAACTCACAATTTAAAAAAAAAAAAAACCAAGCCAAACTGATTACAATGGCAGCACATGGAATCTACCTAGTCCTGGCAAATAAAAATGGCTGGGATGCTGAAGTTGGTAAAGGGTTTTCAAGGTGCTACCTCAAATGAAAGACGACTACTGTAACTGCTACTTGTTACTGTTACTATTATTTTTTAAAAAACAGGTCAACTAAGCAATGTCCCAGGTGCTGCAGCTGCTCTGCTTCTAAGGGGTCAACTCTCAGCCACCTGCTACTTGTGACGCCTGCTGCCTGGAGAGCCCATGGTCCATGGTTCCTATTTCAGGGAACCTCAAGTGCTCCTCTAATCCACAGCCTGCTTTTGTTTGTTTGTTTTTTCATTAACCCATCAGTACAAACAGGGAATGAGAGACAAAGTGTGTGTCTGTATATTTGTTGATCTTATGTATATGTAGTATATGCATGTATACTACATATGGAGGTGTGTATCCATATGTACAACATGCGTGAAGACTAGAAGTTGACGTCTAGTGTCCTCTCCTACCACTTCCATCTTACTTTTTGAGATAGGGTCTCTTGATAAACCTGATGCTCACCAACTGGCCGACCTCCTGGCCAGCCAGCAACCTCAGGACCAGCCTGTCTCCACCTGGCTCCCAGTGTTGGGATTACAGGCATGATCTGCCACGCCTGGCTTTTCTCTTGGGTGCTGGGGACTTTGAAATCGGATCTCATGATCACGCAGCAAACACTTTACCCATCTCTCCAGCCTCTGGATTGTGTGTGTTTAATACAGACTAAATAGGCAGTACAGGACTCCTGGCAGGGAACCATTTTTCTCCATTCAACATCAACTGTGGAAAAGCCACCAGTGCTTCCCGAGTGGAGGAAGAGTTCTACAAGCCAGAAAGAAACCAGAGTGGAGAACAGCCCCTGAGCTCCTGCCGCAGGCTAACAGGTCACCCCTTCTGGTCCTCACTGCTGGCCATGGTCCCAGACTTGCAGGCAAGTAGAGAGCAAGGTTAACTGTGCATCTACTAAGGCTCCATGGCCCTGAGGGCTCATCCATGACACTGGGACCTAAGATCTCCTCACGGCTGCTCCACTCATGTCTGGGGAAAGAGAACCAGAAAGGGACCTAAAGCAAACTGGGAAGGCGTGAGGAGCCTAGTTAGACACTACCTCAGTGAGGCTCTGGGGCTGCTGCCAGGTCACCGTCAGTGGACTCACAGCACTGTGTCAGTGGGCAGAAATGGCCCCACAAATCCTGTGCCCACTGTTTGCTGTACTCCAGATAGTAAGCAGGTGTCTTTCCATCTTACATCTACTCAGAAATATGCAATCATTGGACTGATCCTATAGCTTTTTTTTTTTTTTTTTTTTTTTAGTAAAACATTGTTTTGGGGGAAGAAAGGCTCATGCACACTGAGAAAACCACAAGCCGTATAAAGGAAGCTCATTAGGAACGAGATCAGGGGTTGTCACAACCTACAACAGAGTCTTTACAGACTAGCAGAGAAACAGAGTCTCTGCTGCACAACTCAAGATAATAGGTGATAGACAAAATGTTACAAATGCAGGCTGTGGCCAGGATTTAGTTCAAGACCATAGTTCACCAACCCCTGAGCTAGAACCAGGGACATTGGGTTCTCCATGAAAATGTAGCAGAAAGATTTCATTTTTAGCAGTAATCCCAACTGAGGCCCAGATCGATGTCTGGTAAGAGTCCTAAAGCTGCATCCAGAAGCTGAGGAGAGGCTGCTACACCACCACCACATCCCCAGTGGATACAAATCATCCAACTGTGCCTTTAGAGCTATGTGCAAGAGTTCAAGTGAACAGACAAGGAATATTCACAAACATGTAGCTTTCTAAATCAGATCACCCACCACTGGACCCAATGGACTCAGAAGTAAATCTTGTGAAAAGGCTTTAGGATACAGAAGGAAAACCATAATGTGTCTAGCAGCCTGCTTTAGGCCATAATTCCCTCAGTCCCACAGGTCCCTCACCAAACCTCAAAACAAAGGAAGTCCTAAGGTATTTTCCCAATTATGGGAACACAAACCAATCTTAGATAATTGAACTACAAGTACTCCCTGAATATTTAAAAGACACCAGCAGGAACCTTGAACGGAGACCACGTACCTGGGCTGGACTCTTCAGGAGGGGGGCTGCAATCTGCACAGAAATGGAGGGCAACAGGGATGATTAAGGAGCAGCACACAGTTCAAACATGAGCAACTCAGTCTCAGAGCTGCTGCATCAGCAGCTTGCAGCAAGGTGGTTAAACAGATGGAGAGGAGGCCTGGGGCCCAGGCGCCTCTTACTCAGTTTCCCAAGGGCAGCATACTTGCTGCTGTGAGCAGCTGAGCCCTCTCGGTGGTGAACAAGTGATTCACCAGAGCCAACATCCATGTTGCTAACACATCAACATACAATGTTCTTCTAGATGAGTGAACCAACGCACACAATGCCACAGATGCCACACTGATGATGGTGCAATGATGGAGCCCATGTTAGCTTACAACATCGAATGAGACAGACTGACCAATCAAGTCTGCGTGTCAACTGTGGAGCCCACTGTCCCTGTTTACTGGAGAATCCAGGGTTCAGGATCTACTGCTGACCTTCAAACTGGTAAGGCCCAGTGTTAAAACCAAGATGCCAAAGGAACCACATGTCAGTCTTTAAAACCCAATTAAACTAAATGTAAAAGCTGTGTGATTTGGAAGATGGCTCCAATTAGGAAACTCCTCTAGTTAGACTGTCCTCCAGCTAG